CATTCATGTTAGCAGAGGATCATTGTAAATGTATTGTTGCAGGCACTCTATATGTACATGTACTATATACTACATATAGAGTGCACTGAACAATAGATTTACAATTATCCTCTGCTAATATGAATGGGTTAAATGATCCGTAGTACATGATATGTAGCCCTGTACCCCCTTTTCCACTTACAGAGCTAGGTTATTTTTCTTTTAAATAAATATTCATGTAATTTTATTGGTATCTATCTACCATTAGCTGCCTCATTTCCCACCCTCGGCTTATATTCGGGTCAATACTTTTTCCCAGTTTTTTTTGGTAAAATTAGGTACCTCGGCTTATATTCGGGACGGCTTATACTCGAGTATATACGGTACACTTTCTCTCTCTACTTCCTTTCCTGCCAATCTAATCCTCTTTCCCTAGGCTGCTGCTACAGTTGACATTGGACTGCCCGTCTATGGTTCCTCTATTTCACGGCTCCCTTCACATACCCAAATCTCTGCTCTGCTCTTCAGCCTTGTGGTTTTCATCAGACATGCTCCTCTCTCACATAACATAATTAGACATGTTTAATCTGCTCCTCTCACACATGCCCTGGTTAGGCACGTATGATCTGCTGCTCTCCCAGTTACCTGGATCTCACATTTGCACCATTCTGCAAAATCCCCACTTTCTGCATAATTCATCCTTTTACCTTCATATTTTTCATATCAATATAATAATATAATTTTATCCACCAAGTGAGCATTGTGTACCTTAGTCCTAAACACATAAAGGGCTTGTATTGATAGGCAAATACAGAACAGTTTAAGGTGCATTAAGCCTGTATTTGAGATCAATTTAAAATATTTTTGAACCAATGACTTACAGTTATCCATCCAGAATACGACAGGAGGTGGTAAACCTCTTGGAGGTTTGCATGGCAAAACAAGGGGCATACCCTGTTGTGTCACAATTGGCTCAATTTTCTCTTTTGTCCAGAGAGGAGATCCTGGGGAAAAATGAACACAAGTGAACAGCTGTTATATTTACAATATCAACTGTACAAATAGATGCAACATGAGAATTGGCATAAATATGTGTCCTTGGGACAGTTGGTTGTGTCGTAGCAATAACCTGAACAAAGTACCTTATGTCTGGAAATCCTTCTGAAAAATAACAGTGCACTTTATGGTAAGTGAGGGTATCTACTGATATCTGCAGTGTGAGATCAAAGGCACTGATGCCACAGACTATTAGTTTCAGGAAAAGTGGAGTAAGATTTGCTAATATCACTATTGTGCTGCTCTCTGTTCTCTTTTCTGGAGGTTCTGACAAGAGAAAGTGAAACCTTGAATCTACCAAGATGACCACCTCCAAATAGAGACATAGTGCAGAGCAAGGCATGGTAAAGCTGGCCATACACCTATAGATTATCTGCAGATTTTCAATGATCAGATGGAAAAAGTGCAACAGATTCCTCCATCTACACTAAACTGTGTGGATGGAGGAATCTCCCACTGGGCCAAACTTCATTATCTTGCTAGTCAGCACCACTGGCTGTCAAAATACCTGAACAATCTGACTGGATGCAGGCACTGTTCAGGTATTTTGAGAGCCAGTGGGGCCGACTAGCAAGATACTGAAGCTTGGCCCAGCGGGAGAAATAGAAGAGTCTCCATTTGTGCCATACACAACAAATGGACCAGACTATACATACTACCGTGGTTTCTTATCTAACTGTAAAACTTTACAGACCTATTGGTCTTTTGGTCTTATGGTCAGGTATTTGACCTTTTGGTCTTATGAATTCTCAAGTAACTTCAAGTAGCTACATAGGCCCAGGTCTACCTACTGCAATCTGAAAAGGTTGACATTCCTTTTTAAATTGGGTAATAACCACTACCGAATGTGAAACTGACAAACAATCAGAAAACGTGAAAACAAAAAGCAACATAATGGCTTTGGCTTTCAACACAATCATTAAGAGGAAAGATCATTAAATACATGAAAAAAGTCAGAAGAGTTACATTTCCGACTTTTAGAAATAGGCACTATAGTGTTTTTGGAATCTGCATCTTAATGGTGACTTGATGGACTAATGTCTTTATTCAACCTCAAATACTATGTAACTATGTAACTATGATCAGTCTCCCACACATTGGTGTAATAGGGTTGTGTGATCATGATTCATCCGAGGAGTAAATATACTACCCTTTCTTTTGTTAAGAAGCACGCACAGCATGTGCTAATACTCATCTGACATCACCCTAACATTGTGTCCTATGCCCATAGTCAAAGCTTGCTTTCAGTGAGTGCCAGGGGTCACACTGCTGGCAAAGGGATAAGCTGTTCTTTGCTTAGCTTTCTTTTTTTAGTGGCAATTTGTGCCCATTGCTTGGATATCAGCAAGATGTCTGTTTGTACCAACCTGGTTTAACACAGTGATTAAAGCCTTGCTGCAGCCAGATTGTTTTTATTTAGGTTTTTACAATTTGGATAGTTTGGGGAAAAGCAAGCATTCACATCAAGCTTGTATTTCTCTCCTTAACCCCATTGGAGAACTTTCACCTAATTTCCTGTCTCTATGACACCAGGACAAGAAATGTAATGGGGGTTTGGGGCATCACAGAGCAAACATTAGACAATGTAATCCTTCCACATTGAACTACAAATATGCTTTTGTTTGTGTCATCATTGGAGAGAGTTCCCATCACTTCCTGTCCAATGATGACACAGACAACAATAAAAAAAACTTGACAGAGGCCCAAATCCTTCCACACTCTATCCAAAAATGAAGTGTCTTCACTGAAGTTTCTCTATCTCAATTAGTACTTCAGCTAAAATGTGTTGCTTGAGACTTTACTGATGATACGATGTGCACAATACAAGTATCTATAGAAGAACAGACACACTAAACAAAATTATTTGATCTTATACAATTTATTGAGATGTGCTTATATCTTCTACACTCATATATATATGTGACATTTTGTCTCACCATGCTGCCATATTACAAAGCCACAATGCATCATCCCTGAGATTTAAATAAGTCAGTCTACTAGTAGCTATGAAGTATTGTATTACTGGGGCCTTTTGGTCACTACAATGGGAGCAATTCTGCCTAGCTGTTCTATTTAAATTGAAATCCACACAGCTACTACAAATATTTTACATGACAATTTTCACACCAATATGTTCAATTGACAAAAATAAATATTGCATGGGTGCGCAATCATTATTTTGCTGCATGAACACTTAACTTATAAAAGTCAGTATTTCACCTCACAATTCAATATTTTATCACCACCTCAAACTGCTCCCGGTTCTGTTGTTCTTACTGAAACTTGCTGAAAGAACTTGTTCACACTAATACATTCCCTCACAGTTTTCTGGGCTTGGCAGGAAACTCTGACTCCTTCCAAGTGCCCTGCATATGCCAGGTATCAAAGTATTTATGGAGCCAAATAAATCAATTTCTACTTCACAGCAGTGGCGGAACTACCAGGGTCGCAGAGGTCGCGGCCGCGACCGGGCCCTGGAGTTCGGCCACTTGGAGGGGGCCCAGGACAGGAGGTTGGGGGGGGGGGGCGGGCCCTTCATGGGATTCTTGCATGGAGCCCTGAGGTCACTAGTTACGCCACTGCTTCACAGCAAGGAGACAGGGTGTTGTATTGGGCTTTTGCAGCTGATCATGGCACCACAGTTGGTCCCCTGAGCACTGACCCTGATATCCTGTTTTATGGTGGCTCTTTTCCCTTGCAGGGTGCTATGGAGCCACCCTTGTGTGTGCTAGTAAGCTGTGTGTATCTCCACAAAGACACAGACACAGCAAAGCATCACTTCCCTACCCCCCCTCTCCTCTTTCCTCCCTAATCCAAGCTAGTAGACGGACGGCTGCTGGAGACTGTACTGTCCCTTGTCATCTTATACTGGACAGGGAATTCAGGGAAGCAGAACTGAGAGGGTTGAAGCCAGCTAACTGGAAACATGATAACTGTAAGTGTGTGGGGAAAAAAATGTAAAGAAATTCTATGAAGAGCAATGTATATTTGTTTTATCTGGATATATTATTGAAAAAAAAGTTAGAGACTTTAATACTACTTTAACACTTGTTAAGAAACTAACAACATTTTTAAGGGAGCAAACAATGAAATAATTATTGACTCTGGCATACAAAATACAGCAAAAATCAGACTTAGGCTTCTGTGAATTGAACCTAAAAAGTTTTAACATCTTAAATTTCTAGTTTAATTAATGCATATGTTAAAACTAATGGTAACCCCATCTAAGGTCACTCCGAGAAGCACATTTAACATTCTATACACTTTATCTGACTACTAAACCTCTTTAATTTGCACTTTAAGACTATTTTGTCAACTGTGTTCCCTGTTATGTGAGTAACAAGTGTATTTCTCAGTGTGACAAATGTACTCAAACTGAGATTTTCCATTTAAATGTTTCTATTACAGTGTGCTGGAAATACAATATACGAGTTTTGAACATTCTGAGAGTAACTACCATGCTGAGATCTCAATACGCGTCTCTCTCTCACTGCCTCCTGGTGATAGTACCACTTCTACTCAATGCTTTGCATAACAGCTCCAGTGCCACCAAAACCACTAAATCAGTTCAACAATAAATACATTACAGTATAAATGCTTAGTAACAATTATATTACTCTATTTTTGTATACCCATGTATTACAAATTAACTGTAGATCAAAAAGTACCCATACACATTAGGTGACTGCAGTGTCATATGATATTAGGAACTGAGACACATTAGTTTGATAACTGGGCAGTACATTGTGTAAGAATACAGTGGGACACAACAGCACACGAAAGAGAAAACAGATAAAAGTGTATGTTAAGCCTAAAACTTTTCTTTTTTAGTTTTGGATAGAGTGTGAAAGGATTAGAACCCCTGTCTTGATTTTACAGCTATATGGGACAACATTAGATTGATTTCCTTCACGTTGTGTCCAAAATAAAATGTTTTATCGAACAAGAAGTAAGAGAAAGGCGGCGACAGGGACACAGAAATAAATATCTGACAGGAGTTCTGACCTTCCCCTATTTCTCTCTGTGTCATTTTTATTTCTCTCTGTGTCTCTGTTAAAGAGTTCCACAGGAAAATTTGTCCCACCATGCCCTGGATAGCAGTACAAGTCCCAGCCACTCTATCCTATATTAAGGAGAAAAGTTTTGTCTTGACATACACTTTAATACCTAGAATATTTAATCTGATTGTTCCCCAAATGTGTCTGGTGCTGCACTTCATATTGTATGGACAATATGATAAGCATTTAAGTGTGTTTGGGTGTTGGATATACAAAGTACGTTTCAGCAGTGAGATAGTTAACTAATCAACATCATCATCTTATGCTATGGGTACTTTCAGCATTCATTGTACGGTACACATTATTAAGAATAAACACCTGAGTGGGACAGTGTGTGTGGCTAGAAGCAAAGGAAAATTAAGAGGAATTGTAGTAATAACATACAGGGTATCTGTGAAATAGACAAAGGGACATTAGGTGAATTAAGATAAACACTGGGTAATGTAAAATATGGTTCTATTATGCCTAGTAAGTGGGATTAATTTACATAATATCAATGTTAAATCAGCAATGTTACTATTTCATTAAATAGATGAAGGTTATTTATCACTCCTGGCAATTTACTGATCCTGTTGTGAATTTTGTTTTATATTTCATGACATGAGCTATCAGACATACTAGGCTGTGTGTGAGTGAACATCTGAAACTGTCACTACCAATTGAGATCACTACCCTTTCATTTAATTTCTGGTGTAATTACACGCAGTGCCCTTATTTTAACTTTGAGGACACATTACCCAGGTTTACTTCTGTACTCATCTGTCTCTACAATCTCTATAGAGAGATTGTATCATTATGGAGGAGAAGGATGTTCTGGAGGGGTCCCACAAGTAGGAAAGTTGAAGGAACAGTTTTCACTTCCATGCAGTTTTAACCAGAGTTTTAAGGGATTACCTTCTAACAAGATCGCTTTGAGGATTATAAAGATGTCTTTATTCAAAGAAAAAAAAAGTGAGAGAATTAAACAGAAAATCCAGCATTGAAAAGAAAAAAAGGAATAGAAAATGGATGCATCATTATTTATAATTAGTATTTTTTAATAAAAGGGAGCTTGCTTACCAAAACATGTCAAGTAAACTAATAAAAAATAAAAAGTAAAGTACAGGCAAATAAAAGTAAAAGAAGTAAAGAAAAAAAGAAAACGTACATTGTTAATGATGAATGCTTTGTAGTTTGAAGACTGCAGATGGATAACTTCCATAGTATATTTCATACAGATAAGTTAACTCATAAAAGAATAACTTACTGGACAGGCGAACAACAATATTATTTGATACAGCTGTTCCACGGTCATTTTTGGCAGTGCACTGGTAATCCCCTTCATAAGAGTCTGCTTTTCCACCATATAATATATTAATTTCAAGGGTTCCTGAGTTTGGTTTCATTGTTACTAGTGGATCTTTTTCTGTATCAAAAAGGGTGCCATTGCGAGTCCATGAAAAGCTGCAAAAAGACATGTGGGTAAAAGAGTAGTCTAAAGAAGGTTAAGCTCAGAAAACTGGAAAGTCCTTACTACACCATGGAACCTAAATATACCACCAGCAACACATTTTATGAATTGTGCAAGAACTATATTGCAACTATAATGCACGCATTTAATTTTAAATTCCTGGTAAATGTAAAAAATATATATTTTAGTCCTGTTTTATATTTCTTCCCCCCCCCACCACCACCACCACCACCACCAGCCATACCAGGAGCCAGGTTATTGGCAGGTGTTATGAATATATAATGAGTGCCCCCTTTTAACACTGATATGAAAAATACATAAAATGATACACCATATCTCTGACTGAACATTCAGCTCTAGTCAATATCTGGATGCCAAAGACAGAAAAGCACATCATCAGTTTCACTGGCTACTATAGTGACCCACTTAACCTCCAAGTGCATACAGCAGAGCACTGTGGGAAGACATACCTTGGTGGTGGCTTTCCTTTGGCTTCACACTGAATCAAAATATTCTCTCTTGGATCCACAATGTAGTTTTTTGGTGACTGATGAGTTATAGTTGGAGGCTGTGGTACTGCATATTAAGGACATAAAACCACAATAAGTGGCCAAATAAAATAACATTGGATATCATCACAAAGCCTCACAAATATTTTCAAAAAAATCAACATCACACAAGGGAAACGGCAAACTATAAAAACGAAAGCATTAAATTAACCAATACGTGTACACGTGATAGAAGAACTTGAAGGCAAGCAGGTGAACAGCCACAGCAAACACAAACCAGCTACTGTATTAAGCAGCACAATACACCACCTCTAACCAACATGCTGCACAAATTCACTTCACGGGAACTTACATTGTTCTAGAAGTTGTGCTTTATTCCCCACAAGAGAATCAGCAGTTGTAAAGATAAACAAAGATTTAAAAACTGACTGTTAGTAGGAAACAATATTTTTTTTATTAATTTTCAGATTACAGTTATTGGAATATTAAGTCACAGAAACATAAAAAAAATTGTGAAGTGGAATTGCAGCCAAAATGTATTTCTTTTGTTTTTGGACTAAAGGAGAAGTCTTGCAACCTTTGTCAGATTTTTAGTTCTGTCTTTGTCTTCATTCCAGATGATTTCCCTTACTTCCTGTCCCTGGATTGTGGAACCTGAGATAATGATTTATTAAAGGGGTTAAGAATCCTGACATGATAAATTGTGTATATATACACATCTATTATCCAATCATGTACAAAAATAGAAAAAAGGGGTTTTTTTTAAGGCACCAAATCACACATTTAAATCATTGTGTTCCAAAGTTAAAAAACATTCAAAGATTTTATATTATTTAAAATGTTTTTTTTTATTTTGGAATGAAATAATTTAAACCTATCAAATGTGTGATTTGGTTAAAATGGTTAAAACCCGTTTTTTCTATTTTTGTACATACTTACGACTTTGGGGTGTGGCACCATTGGACAGGGATATCACCAATGCATTGTAATATTATCCAATCATGTGTTTACTTATTTTATCTTCACATGATGGGATGATTGAATGAAACATTAACACATTTTTTCTGTGAGGTTTCTTAACTCCTTTAGTAAATTGATCAAAATCACTTAAATTGTGGCACAGGGAGCAGAAAGGAAACCTAAATCTGTGTCAGGATTTACTGATGTCTACATTGCCACTGGATAGAGTTCCTTGCTGTTCTATTGCCCCTGGGACAGGAAATGAGGAATCATCTCCCCAGTAGGGCATAGAGAGTCATAGACATCCAACCCGACAGGGGTTCTAACCCTCCCCTGATATACACAAAATTAAATAAAAGTTTTGGCTGCAGCCAAAATTTGACAAATTATAAACTTGAGCATGAACATTAAAAAAACACCAAAAGTAACAACTGTAAGGGAAATCTATGGGGATCTACATAGTATACTTTTACAGAAGAAGATCATTTGAGTGATTTGTTGATGGTTTCTCCTTTAAAGGAGATCTATGAGGTGAGTGATTTCCACTCATCCTCATAGTTAGAGCCGACCTGTGACAAAGAAGCTGTCACAGGTTGGCTCTATTGATCGGAAAGTGAGCAGAAAGATACACCGGTCCGCTCACTTCCCGTTCGTCTCACCGCAGGGATTTCCCCCTCTCCTCTCCGATCCTCCAGCACCGACTGGAGGAATGAACGGGGGAGGGGGCGGGCACAGCTGGCTCTGCCTCTAGATAGGCTATCATTCACGCAGCTGTGTGGATCTCAACAGTATTGTCGGGATCCGTCCTGGCTGCAGCACTCTCAATATATCGCAGGCAATAGCCCACGATATACTGAGGTTTGGGTCACAGGAGGAGATTAAAATAAGTCCTCCCTTTACCTGTTAAAAAAAAAAATATGTCCTCCCGTGACCCTTAAAGAGAACTACAGGGGAAAACCCTTAGCCCATAGTTCCATAGTGAAAAGTGTGAAAAAAAGGTTTTTATTCCTGTCTGTGTCTCTGCTGGGGAGATTTACACTCTCTGTGATTCATGGTGACCAGTGTCACTGGAATAAAAAGTGATGTGAAAACAAAAATTTTACAGTTGTCACCAGAACAAGAATAAAGGAGGAATCTTCCAATGGAGACAAAATGATTATGATAACATCCAAGAGGGAATTTTCCCTTACTTCAGAGAGTTTTATTCTCTTTACTCTACTTTAGAGATTTCCTGTTGTATGTCAAAGAGTAGAGAACAATGGTAATCTCACCAACAAGAAAAAGGGGAAATCTCCCAATGGAGACAACTATTATGATAACATCTAAGGGGTTTTTCCTTACTTCAGAAAATTTTACTATTTCCTGTTGTGTGTTAAAGAACAGGAGACAAGGGAAATCTCCCCAACAAGAAAAAGGGGGAAATCTTCCAATGGAGACAACTATTATGATACAACAACAAAGAGGGGATTTTCCCTCACTTTAGAGACGTTTACTCTCTTTCCTGTTGTACCTTTGAGACAGGAAGACATGGAAAATCTCCACACCATAATGCAGACAGGAAAAAATAGGGATTATAACTATTAGCAAAAACCATAAAGGAAGATTTAGTGCTAGATATATTTTAAATGGGCCTTTTCTTTTTTTTTATTAAATAAAAAAACAAATGTATACAGGTCACAATGTACATACACAAAATAAAGTATGCATGGTTAACTAATGAGCCAATAACATGTATTAAGAGGAGACTTCAAAGTAGCAAAACTGAATGTCTTGCATATGTACATAAAACAGTTTTTATCACAGGAAAGGCTTAGGTATTTTGACAAGCAAGTCTACAATGATCTTGAAGGAGACTAATATAAATATTTTCATTAAAAGGAGCTAGAGAGGAACAGATAGTCATAATGTCAGGCATTGAGATCATCCTTGAGAATTTTGTTGGATAAACGGCCCCCGCCGGAGCCGGTGCAGAGGCAATCACTTCTTGTATCTCTCCACTTTCGGCCACTGCAGCAGAACGGCCGTGAGGGGAGAGAAAAAGAAAGAGTGATTAGTGCTGCGGCGGCGCCAGCGGGGGCCGTTTCTAAAGGCATCAGAGAGGCCCGGGGGGCAATTGCCACCCTGCCCCCCGGCCCAGTCCGCCCCTGGATTGCTGGGATCTGCTGGGATTCTAGTCTGAAAAATGGACAGTATTTTGCTCCATCACTTTTCTACATTGAAGAGTAAAGGATCTTTTTCATCATGTTGTAAAAGTTGTGAAAATAAGTGCCTCCAACGGGTGGTGGTACTTGGTGACACCTTTGTGATGTAAAAAACAGTCCAATTACGGCAAGTGATGCTTGAAATCAGCACCACTGCTGGCTAGTATTAGACCATTTATGGCCAACTTAGTCATCATTAGACAGGGAGAAGGATCTTCCGCCTATTAAATGTTTTAGTCGATCAATGTCTAAACATGTTGGAGGCCTTGATTTAAGCCTAAATCAATCCCATTTGTTGTTTTTTTTAGTTTTGGATAGAGAGTAGAAGAGTTAAAATTCATGTCACATTTTTATTTCTATTTGTGACCTAATGCATTAACTCAAGTCAATTGGTCAAAAATGACCTTTCATGCAGAATTGTCTGAACTGAGGAAAGGTACACTCTAACTGGTTGCTACAGCTTACTGTATATTAGTGCTCTTTGTTCTTCTTTTCCTTATTAAATTATAGTTTATGTTTTAATGGCACAAAACAAAATATCTAAAATTAAAAATACATATGTTTTTAAATGCTTTACAGATACTATAAACTACTGGGTTTTGGTGAATTGTTTTGAAATTATCATTATCTTTCCCCAATTCGTGTTCTCAAAAAAATCTTCTCTAGCATGGCTCCAGTCTCTGGAGTCAATATGGAGGAGATTTTCGAGGTTCTAACTTTTGCTGATGAGAAAATCATGTGGAAGAATCCTATTATGTTGGTATTAAGTATACGCATACAGGTTATGGTGAGAATGGACTAAATCATTCTAAAAGCCCTCAACCCTAATCAGGGCATGGTAAAGCCTTCTTAAAATGAAGGTATGCACATGTCTCAGACTGTCACATATCCCCAAAATAAGAAAGCTAGCATTCACAGAAGGAGGCCAGCATTGACAACCCATCGTTCTCTTATGACACATGTATTTTAAACAGAGCCATCAATCTACAAATGGCTTTAAAATACCCCGGTAATATAGATTCCGGCAGTGCTGAAAGTCACAGGTGGATAACAATACAAAATATCAGTGTACTGATACTTACGATCAAGTGGCACTTCTAGTGCTGTAAGTACTTGGCACAAAATAAGGACCAAAGGAGCTCTGATGGGTAATAATCTTCTCTTCTGCATTATTTTAAGCTGTCTTAGCCTACTCCTGCTGAGAGACAGAAGCTTTTCTTCTTATCACAGATTCCTTTACAATACAGAGCCCGGGATCATGAAGATATCAACTAGAAAAAAAAATCATATCAAAACTTTATCATTGTGGTGACATTAACATTATTTAAATTTTTTTTTTGTAAAGAAAAAAAACATGTTAATAAAAATACAAAAAAAAAACAACTCATTAATTAGCTCTCCAAAACCCACATATAAATACATGCAAGAACAAACAGAAAAGCAGGCGATGTCTATGTAATCAGATTCAGAGAGGCTGGTTTACTAAAAGAGTTGAGAATCTTCACTCAATAAAGTGTGTGCAGATTCACTTTGATTATCCAGTCATGTGAAAAACAAATTCCTGTATATTAATTTCATCTGCACATGATTGGTTTTCAAAGGGAACACAGCTACACTTGATTGCGTGTATATTTGCAACTCAACCCCACAGTTTACATTTTGTAAGGAAATATTAGAGATTAGTTTACATGGATTATTGTCCTTTTCTCCAGAGTTTGAAAATCAACATTACATTGTTCAAAAAAACAAGAAAATAAAATTGGTCATAAATTCAAGGATTCTGTCCATTTTACCTTTTATGTATCTAAAGAGGCCTCGTTCACACCATTTAGGCCAGTTTAGGCCTCGTTCACACAAGGAACAGTGCGTTCTGGCCGTATTCTGTCCAGAACGCACTGCATTGCACTTCGGCCGGCTCAGTATGTTGTGGAGCAGGAGGGGGAGAGGCGGTCCATTAAAGTGAATGGCACTGTAGCCACGCCCTCTGGCCGCAATGCAATCCTCTGAATGGGAACGCAAGGAACATGAATGCCTGTGGTCCGGTCTGAACAAAATAGTGCTTGCAGCATTTTGTTCGGACCGGACTGTAGGCATTAATGTGCCTTGCCGTGCGGTCGATCGCATTGCGGCCGGAGGGCGTGGCTACGGTGTCATTCACTTCAATGGACTGCCACGCCCCCTCCTACCCATAACATAGTGAGCCGGCCGCAAGGCAATGCAGTGCGTTCTGGCCAAAATAGGGTTGGAACGCACCGTGTCTGGTGTGATTGAGGCCTTAACCTAGGGATGTTTATATTTGGTTACTGTTCATTACTTCTGTACATAAGTCATCTGTGGTAGCTGTATAAAAGGGGCAAATTACCAATGAACACAGATTTCACATGAATGGATATCTGAAGAGAGCATAGGCTAAGAAGGAAAGACTCTTTTAGTAAAGTAGTCTATAAGGGTCTGTAAATAGGGGAGAATTGATCAAAACTGGAGAAGACAGAATCTGGAGCAACTGCCCATAGTAACCACCCAGCTTTTCTCTACAGTTTGTTCAGTTAAGCTTTGAAAATGAAAGATAGAAGCTGATTGGTTACTTTGGGCAACAGCTCCAGATTGTGTCTCCTCCAGTTTTGATAAATTCCCCTTGTGGTACTTTCTGACTTGTGTAGATTGTTTTCTGTTTAACATTCAGATTGTAATCCAAACAAAAAAAATGCATTCTGATTTATGTTCAGACTTTAATCCAAAAAGAAACAGTCCACCTTAGTATAAATATAAATAAATGCACACACATCCAGAAAAAATGGGCATTTATTAACTTTTTGCAATGGATCCTGCAAAGCATTGCAACCAAGATCAGTGGATCACTGGTGCAATGCTCAGGCTCTTACAGTGTGCTCGTTCAGCCCCAGCTCCACACCTCAGTACAGACCCTGTACAGATCCTGTGAATAAATCTGTAAATGAATGGCGCGGCTGTGCGGGTGGGGCCACTCACAGCCATACCAAATTTAAATCTAAATACAAAATTGTATGTTACACCCTAAATATGCGTGTGACCTGGAACATGGTCAAAAACAATGGACAGTGCTTTTAAAGTTTAGAACAATAACATAAATTATTACAACCATCACTCATGTCAGGGGTGGGCAACTCTGGTTCTTCAGCTGTTGTGGATCTTCAAGTCCCATGAGGCATTGCAAGACTGACAGTTACAGTCATGACTCCTAGAGGCATGTTGGGATTTTTATTTAAAGCACAACTTGGGGGCCGGAGTTGTACATCCCTGACTTATGTGGTATTTGAACAAAGTGTACATGAATACATATTTGCAGGCAAGAAGTACATGACAGATAAACACATGACAGGGTTAAGCTGGCCAATCTGACTGCTTAGCCTAATGACTGACTGACCATTCTGCTCTCAGACATGGATCTACACACACCTGCTACTCAGCACATTCATGTTTTCCCTTCTGGCCATCAAGAGAAGATACTTTACATGCACTTCAGAAAAGTAGTGAGGATAAAATCACTTGTGTTTAATCACCTCCAGTATACACATCATAATCTTTGAGCAGCACAGTAAGCATTGGCCACCAAGCACACAGGTATTACTATTCCTGCAACTTCAAATACAAATACAGTTTTAAGAAAACCAAATGAGAACATTTTAATTCCAGCTCTACCGTTCATTCATTAAAGTCCCATTACTATTTTCAAGGAGATCTTTTTATTGGCAGTATCCCTAGGGCATGATAAGGCAGTGATTACATATTGATTGCACCCATATTTAATCCTTAGGAATATAACATATATGTAAATTGGTGCTTACTACAATACACATGTAGGTGGTATATATTACACTCCATTACATTAAGCACTCATAGAACATAAATAAGCTGGAAAAGAGAATTATACAAATGAGCCTGGCTTGATCTAGCAGCAGGGAACTATACAAATGCAATATATAACACATTGTAGAAACATTACAGAGCAAACCCAGAGATCGACTAATGTACACGTGTTCAAGCTGCACAGGCATACCCGTCAACAATGTCATAACATTGCTGAAACCTTGCTTATTAGAATTGCTTATGTGTAGACCATACAGTACATCATTGTACAAGCAATCATTTACAACGCAGCACAAAACTGAAACTTTGCAGTTAGTTATAAATCCAGCAAACAAGTATCAGTTATAAGGGAAATGTCATTTTGTTACAGACAACTCATATTATTCACAGGTCCAGAGTTATTTCAAAGCAGAAAATTGTTACCATAAATATCAAGTCTAGGCCTGTAAGAAATAATTACATAAACCCAAATTTAACAACAAGAATCATACACAAATTCACAGAAAAAACATTTGTGTTCCTATACTCCAGTATTTGTAGATTCAAATTAATACTCATGCACATCTTTAAAATAATGAGAATATGGAGACATGACAGTCAAGCTATCAAACACATTCTAGTCTGATTACACTTACCACAACATTTCTCTTGTGTCTTCAACATCAAAAGCGGTGGCTTTGTGTCTGGGTGATTAAAATATTTTGCTCTATCCCTCTTACACTCTTAGCCTATCTACAGAATGCAGTTTAAACTCTCCTAAGCCCCTGAGCAAATGTGATTATGTGACGATGCACTTTGCCACAGTAACTACATTGGCGATCATCCATCAGGAGAAAAAGTGATTGATTGAATATTGGCTGCATGCTATGCTGAGTGCAGAAGAAAATCGTTTAATACAGTTTGCAAACGAATGAATGTATATTAACTGCTTCAACCCTGAATGTAATCGGCACTGGGTGCTTCTGTACAGTGTCTAAAAGACTATTAAATAATTGAGAGTTAAGTATAACACAAGGCTGGACAAATCCCAGGAGTCAGGTAGCCAATGCTCCTTAAAAACTGGCTTCTAATGTTTGAGGTTTTCTCTAGCTGCTATCAATGAAGCTGGCTCCTAAACAAAAAATCCTGTTGGCTCCTGAATTGGACAGCATGGCTCCAAAATTCCATATTGATTTTCCCACCCCTGGTATAACACCTTTACAATGTATATTAGGCATTGGTCACAACATATTATATTAAAGCATAATATTAATCATAATAATAATAAAATAACATGACAAATAGTAATGAAACATATAAACAATATGTCAAAACATACTTGCTATGTGAATACAATTCAAAACCCTTGGTTATTAATACAGTGCAGTGAACATCTAGTATTTGTTATAGCAACCAAAAATGAAATAAGTGTATACAAAGCAACATACCTCCATATAAAAGACCAAATCTAAGGCTATGTGCGATTAGATACTTTTATTTGCATTTAAAAAGCTTTTGTAAGCACATATATTTGCATCTAATGAATTCCAATGGGCATATTCACACCTTGCATCTACTGTAGATGCTTTTATCAGTTTATCTGCATTAAAAAAAAAATAGAAGTCAGGTGTATCTAGGAACCGATTTGAAGTTCTAAAAGCACCAAAACGCATGTAAACTCATGCAAACACGTGTCTTTTAAAGCATCTAGAAGCATAAACACAGCATCTAAACTGACAGATTTTCCTCTGGCAAGTGGCAAGCGTGAATGAAGCCTAAGTCTCAGCTAGAAATACCCACACATGGTAATATGTTTCAGATGATACAATGTCCTTGTATATCACTATCATTACAAAGTATTTCATTAACAAAGAAGTTTTATTCCCAAAAAAGACAGGTTCCATTAGAACATTAGGTACATAAACTCCATACAGGTTAAAGTTTAGTCAGCAGTGTTCCCATGTCATGAACAATGCATTGCTGAAGTGTAACCTGTAATGCTGCCACTGGTTAACATTGGGGATTTCTGTTATTTCTACTGCCTGTCCCAGCTACGTGCAACTCTCCAGCCCCCCCATTCCTTCTCTCCCACAGCTGGTGCCAGTCTACCCTTACAGGGCTATACCACGGGAAATAGATCAAACACATAATGGGCAGTCAAGGTAACTGCAGTGAAGCTGATGGACACTTCACTAGTCCAGAACTGGTGCATGGCTTGGAATGAAGAATGGTCACTTCCATCGCAGTCTTTCCAGCCAAGTGTTAAGATGACACGCTACCCTTAAAGTGATATTAAAGTCAAAAGGTTTCTAAGCTATTTCAAATGCTGATAAAATCACTTAATGAACACTGCATCTTTATGTTTAAAAGTTTTAGTTTCCAACAGAATCAGCTAGTCCCCTGAGCACTGGTCTTGATATCCTGCTATAGGTTCCT